CAACAACCAACAACCAACAACCAACAACCAACAACCAACAACCAGCAACCAGCAACCAGCAACCAGCAACCAGCAACCAGCAACCAGCAACCAGCAACCAGCAACCAGCAACCAGCAACAGCAACAGCAACAGCAGCCACAACAAACAGCAGCAGCGAAGCAGCAGCAGCAGCAGCAGCAGCAGCAACAACAACAACAACAACAGCAACAACAACATCATCATCATCAACAACGCCAACACCACTACCAACACCAACACCGGCAACCGCAGCCGCAACCGCAGCCGCAGCCGCAGCGGCAGCAGCAGATGCAGACGGCCAGAACCATGGAGAGACGTCAACCCCCGTCTTTCTCAAGCCGTACTTGTCCGTTTGGGTGCGCGTGTTTTTTTTTGCATCGTAACTTGGCAGCCCGGAACAACCCCCATCGAGCCCTGGGCAGATTCTCGCTGAAGACTGCCCGACCACACATCTTGAGACCATCGGAAGCGAATCTTAACTCAGGAGCATACCTGCAAGATGCAGGGAGGAGGTGAGCAGTTGCGCAAAAAGGTGGCAACTAGGCGGCATCTTGTGGCAAGGACACAGCCAAAGACAGGCAGGAGTGCAGTAAATTCAGCATGGTGCTTCGACTGGTCTGGAGTAATCCAACTTGCTCTGTGGTGGCTGCTGAGTACAAGCTGTGAAATTGGAAGATCGGTGCAGTGGCCGAGGCGTGACCTATCAGAATCAAACGGCCACACCGCATCTTGCAATCCACGGCCACACCGAGGAGGCACAGGAGTACGAGCTGGGCCGGCACAGACTCGTTCGCGTGTGGAGCACCTGAGATGCAATCCCTGTGCAAGAAATAAAGGCTGTTGCTGGGATCTTCTCTGCTTGTAGGTGCCCCGCACCTTCAGCTACGCAACTAGTCTATCTTCGTATTTCATCATCTATGTCTCGATTTGCAGATTTCTTGACTCGATCTGTTGGTCCACAGTGCCGTTGCAGTATGAGAGAAACCCACCCTCAGACTTGTTCAGTCAGCAGCAGGTCAACCTGGAGGGGTGAAGTTGAAGAAGGGTTCGAATCATCCGACAAGCTGCTGGCATGCAAGGCAACGAGGCTTCGGAACTTCGCCGTGCTGGCCAGATGCACCAGAACGAGGCACTACTCGTCCCTTTCTTGCTTTCGGGCATGTTTGGTGAAAGAGGCTTGTGGTTTTCTGCGCGTTCAATTCGTTTCATGTGCTGGTTTCTGGTAGAAGTACCATCCTAGGCTTTCCTTGAAGGTGTTTGTGATGTGCTTTCACGAAGGGAGCGTCTCCAATTACCAGACCAGGCCTGTTTTACTGTTGCCCTCTTCAGCTATACATGCACATGCTCTTCGCATGCCTCCGTGCTACATGTGCTAAGCTTAGGCTTAGACTTTACCACGGCCGCAGTAAGGCATTGGCTTTTCTGCGAAGTGCAGCGCGCGTCAGCGCAGACACCGAGAACGCGGAGGAGGCTGTTTCGGCCAGCCCTACGCTGTAGGCCGAGGGCAAAGCTTGACGGACGTTGGTGCTCTGCCGGCAACCTTTGATGCCTTTCTGCGAAGGCTAACCTTTGAGTTGTTGTTGTTGTTGCGCTGTGCCCGCAGTGTCCTATGATTCCTGTGCTCGTTTCAGAAGTTGGCTTTCCGTGCTGGCTCTGGGTTGGTTGCTGCTGTTCGCTGCTGCGTCGATCACTTTCTATGCAGGGTCATATTTTGTCGCTGTGTGTTCTGCGGTGTTTGTTGTGCAGCCATGACACAGCCTACAATTCCCCTCTATCACCTTCGGCCGCGTAAGACCAGCTTGGCCGGAACGGAAGAGCGAAGTAACAAAATTCAGACGAGCGCGCGCTCTTTTTGGAGGAGCTCCAGCGACTGTGGGCACGGATCGGAGAGGTGCGCACTCTGCGCCAGCTGTAGAACCAGCCATGTATGGACATGGATATGTACGTAGCCTTTGGCCTTTAAAGTTTGGAGGGAAGTGCGAAGAACCTGTCATCGGAGCAAATTATGCACCGTGGCCACCCGCCAAGTGAGCCCGCATTTAGACACCCAAGCCTTCCCAAGTTTGTCGAAGGCGCACCGAGAGGCAACAGCCCAGCGGGAGGCTTTGGGCCGGGGGCCCGGGTGCCTCGAGATCCCCAAGCCAAAGCCGCTCTGCAACTTAGGACCACAGTGAGGGTTTGGGCACGGTCATTCTTCATTCCGTATCCTTAGAGCATCAGACAGCACTGTCAGCTGTCAGAAGGCTTTCTGCACGGGCGCCGGCCGATCAGGAAGCATGGGGGTTTTGTCTCCACAAAACTGCTCACGCAGGCAGGCATCCTCTTGGTGTTCCTCAACCAACATCCAGGGTTTCGGGGTTTTTGACCTATCTCTGTTTTTGAGGCTTACGATTTCCAAGCTCTCATCCCCTGGCAGGGTTCGGGGTTGTGCAACCAACATGTGCTCTTCGGGTTTCTCAACCAATATCTCCTTTTATGGTCGGGGGTGTGGCAACCAAAATTTGCTTGGGTTTCGCAAAAAACATATCATTTCAGTGTTTGGGGCCTAGTACGTGCGATGTGAAATGCCAACAATAGATAAAGATGTTTAGCAACAGGCTCACTCTGACCTACCACACAGGGCAATCGGGCACCAATCTTTCTCGAGCAAAAACAGCCTGGTCCACAAAGTCTCCTGCCAGTGTTCTCCTATGCTTTGGAAGCCTTAACATACCAGCTTCACCTTTTACGGTTCTGGGCTGCGCGACCAACATCTGATTTCTGAGTAACATGGGTTTCTCAACTACTGGTAACATCTCCCTTTAGGGCCTTGGATCTGGCAGCCAACATCTCCTTCGAGGGTTTAAAGTTTCTCAACCAACATCGGCTCAATGTCGCCTCTTCCCGTACCGTTTTTCGCAACCAACATCTTCTTTTAGGGTTGGCGCACAACACCTGCTTGTAGGGTTCTGGGTGTTGCAACCGAAATCTCCTTTTAGGGTTTGGGGTTTGGCAACCAACATCTCGCGGGAAAGCGGAAATGGAGTCACAAAGCAAAAGCAGCAACTTTAGTCCAAACGGAAGCTACGGATTCCTGGATCACACTACCCAGCCAGATCAGAAGTGCGGCTCCCTTAGTTAATGCGCTTCTGTAGTCTTTGCTCGTGACATGTCAATTGGCTGCGAGTGTCTCAGGCCGGACCGGGGCCCTTCGTGGGGTCGTGGAGAAGGACGTACTGGGCTTGCGCGAGGTTCGCATCGACCGCCTGAGTCCGCCTGAGCGCGTTCTTTTCATGCCAGAGCTGCCTTGCACCTACGCTCACAGCTTTGGTCCTTCAACTTACAAGCGCCTTGAATCCCATGTTCCACACTCTTCCCCCAATGTCGCATCCAGACCAGCGCCTTCCTCGCAGAGCAGCTGTGGCCTCGGATTCGTCTATCTTGCATGGATTCAAGAGTGACAAGCTCGGATTCCTAGCCCTTGGCCTGCAACTGCGCCTGAGGCAGCGCCGTGTGCAGCTGGCAATAGATCCAGGCCGGGCTCACTTCGGAGCTTTTGCCTCGGGCCTGCACCGTAGATCCCAGGAACGACACTGTCGCAGCTTCCACCGAAGCTGACCAATCACATCTCTCCCTGACATGTGATGTAGCAAAAACACATCGAGTTCCACAATATCACCGAATGATGCAGGCCCGAACTCGCCGGCCTTGAAAGAGTTGCCAGAAACCTACGCCGGCGGGAGCCCTTTCAGATGCTGAGTGCATACTCGAGGAAATTCCATCACTAGATGTCACGCATGTCGACACACAAGCCTGTCATAGATAATACGCAGTGGTACGGTAGACTTAGTGGAATCGAAGAAGCAAATTTCATTTGCAAACTAGAATACCTCATTACTTCGTAAGCTGTTTGGACACCAGCCCGTGCCACAGTCAAAATCAAGCTACTTGTCGATCCGTGTCTGCGGCAGCCCGGTTTACGACTTTGCAATGCCAACAACACCACACACAAACATAGGCAGAAGCTAGACAGATCTCAAGGGAACATATTCTCGGTTCAAGACACATTTGCAGGCCAGCTGTTTCATGGGAGCATCTCCTCATGGCCTGATGTGTGACACCCTGTTTGTACGGCAAACCATGCATTTGCAGTTGCGTGAGCGCTTTCTTGTTGTTTCCCTTCAGCCGGAGCAGATGATCAAGCTAAACAGCCTCCACTTTCCAAGGCAGTGCCCGCCCCACGCAATATCCATCGGTGCACAGCCCTTGGAGAAAAAAGCTCATCTGCACTGCACCGTGGCATTGGGTGTGTGATACTTGAAGAGTCTTCGAGAGTTTGGCGCCCTGACAGAACTTTGTTGCGAGGCATGTCCCTGTGCCAGAAATCCTAGCAGCACCAATTACATTTGGGAAAGAGGGTTTCGGATGGTTGGACATGCATGATACTTGTTGACAGAAAAGCTGTTAAACTTGATTTCTCTGTTTGGAGGTCGCTTGGGTTAGGCCCCACCCAGTAGTAGTGGTACGATGGGGGTACAGTGGCACCACAACATAGCTTCGATTATCCCCTGTGGTCACTGTGGGTGGGTAGGGGCCTTACCTAAGAAGTCGCCGCTGCGTCCTGCATAGAATCTGGATATTGTGTATCATTAGCTAGGCACGTTTCTGAGGCCTCGTGCGAGATCCCAAAGCATCAAATTCAACGTTTGCTTGCAATGCGTGCTCTGAGAAGCACGTCCTGATTGATTCTCTTCCCCATCCAAGCACTTGGAGTCTGACCTAAGCCTTTCTACACGGAACATGTAGCTTCTATTCTAAGCAGAACTTGGCGAAGGGCCTAAGTCCCGACACGTGCACTTGGCCAGCAGAATGCGCGTATACCCAGGGTCACTTGATGCTTTACGCTGCGAAAGCAGCGATCAGGAGTCCCACGCGCTACCACTTATGACATGTGTGCCGCAGCGTGTTTTTTGGGCAGACGGGAGGCAGGTGCTCAACCAGCAGGTCTGAAGGTGAGGTCCCCAGACGGGACCTTCAGACGCTTGCCGCGACTAGTGCAGGGCAAGACGACCAGAACTCCATTTCAGGAAGGGGTGGTTGAGCAAACACGGATCAACGGGCATTTCTCTCGGCGCAAGAAGTGCCATTCTCGGGGGCATCTCTGGACTCCAGCGAAGGCTTCCCATGCAGAAGTCTGCAAGTGGGGTCACTTCGACAGTAGCGTCGCGTGAAGGGTTCGGCAACTCATGTTGAGCAAGTGGCTTTTCCTGCCTGGGGTCAGGCCACGATGGTGGCTGAATCTCTCGGACGAAGGCGCCACTCTGTGCGAGCTTCTGGCTTTCGACCAACGCATAGAACTGAGACTCACACGTTCCCAAAGCTTTCTTGAGTCCTAGCTTGTCCTGCACGGTCAGGGTGGCGACGCCATCCTTGCACACAAGGGAGCTGCGGCCTAAGGGCATGGTGCACGCCCGTGAGAAGACGGTTACAAAGCCTCATGACCGATTTGTTGGCGCGAAGCTGCAAGTCGAGAGAACGTTTGAGTCTTTCACCAGGCCTCCGTCGAACCTCTGCGAGGCACCGGGCGCCAGGGTCGAAGCTTCCGGTTTTTATCGCAACGGAGCCCCAGCATGGAAGGCAAAGCCAATCGCTGCAGCTGCATGCTGCGTATTCGCTTTCCGTGCGGTCCCTCTAGACGGCAGGGACGTGTGCTAAGCTTTGACATCTTGGCAATCGACAAAACCACTGGGGCCTGCATTTGCTGGAGGCACCTCGCTGCAGGGCACGGCATGTATCATTTGCACGGGAGTTTTCGTCGGATTCGAATCAGAGCGTGCGCCGTCAAGTCGCATCTCGGCGAGGAGAAGGCTCGCCATCTCCGGCTGCGGCCTCGAAGCATCTGCTTTCAACCAGCCGCCGCGACTGCTGCACACCCTGCATGACATAAGGCTCTTCGAAGATAATTCCGCTCATGTGTGTGTATAATTGTGTATACACATAGACGCCCACAAGCATGTGTCTGGCCCTCCCAGAAGCTTTTTTCTCAAGGGAAAAACTTGGGAGCGAGGCCTCAGCCGAAGCGGCCGCTCGGCCAGCGAATCGGAGGCACGGGAACGGGGCCGAGGGCGATGACGGCCGACGCTTGAGCTTGCGGTTCATGACTCTGTTGCAGCGGTGAATCATGATCTCTCAGCTTACCCCATGATGCCTAGTTGGGTTGAGCTTCAAGCTTGTTATCCGCAGTGAAGCCGCAAGTTTCAGCTTGAGCGTTCTTGATCTATGCGATGCTGCAGGTTCGGAGAATGTGCTGCCGATTGACGTCCGCTTCCATGGTGATGACCGGATCACACACGCTGACATGGTACGGCAATGTGGTCGTCTTCTTTAGGTCAGGCTTCGTGCTGCACAAAAGGGGGTCGACCAAATTGGCTTAGCAGGAGAGTCTTCTTCATGCCGGAACCAAGGCCAAGTCACCCGCGAAGTGGTCTTCATGCAAGTGCCCGGCCTGAGTTTCTCATTTTGGGAGCTTGCAGGGCATTGCAGGGCATGAGAAGCTGCCGCCGACGTAGTGAGGCCATTGGCGACTTCCAACAACAAGGAAAATCAGAATGACCAGGCATGGAGCCAGAAACCCAAGCAAAGAAAGAGGCGTTTGCGTTGTCAATGATACGATAAATATTGCTCGTGCGAGTGTATTAGCCTTTGTGGGAGCCCATCACTCTGACAGGTCCCTCGAAAAGCGCATGAGGCGCGTCGTTGGGCAGAAATCGGGGCGATTTGTGACGCTTTCCAAAAGCCCATAGTTGGAGCATAAGTAATCGTGGCTGCGGCAGTTGAGGGCTTCTTGTTGTGCTAAGTTACCATCAGAATGGTAACTGCATGCCTCGTTAGGGTTCTTTTGATGCCCAACCACCGGACCCCTTTCCAAATCAGCCTCGACTCTTTGCTGATAGCCCCAGACGCAGGGATAAGAGTCCAAGCGGCTATCAGCCCGGGATCCAGCAGCCCGGAGCTGCTGCTCCTTAGCATCTTCGGATAGCGGCAGTCCAATGTCAGTTAGTCGGCTTGAGCACTTTACAGATGAATGTGCAGTTGCTTGCAGCTCTTCAGCACAGAGAGAAGTAGGTGAAGGTACCAATTGACATTTATTCTCCATGCCTCCCAGTTCGTCTGAATCGTCATCCGACGCAGCTACATACGTCAGCCTTGTCCAGGATCCTGTCTCAAAAGAGGCGCTATGTGTGCGCTTGCTTTCTCCAGCGTGGCAGTGAGCCGCCCTGCCATCCCAAGCCGAGCTTCCGAAGCTCGCCAGCGGCCGCCAGAGGCAGAAGAGGCCCGCGACGAAAAACGAGAGCATCCAGAGCCCAGAGACAGAAATGTTTAGTTTTGGCGCTTTGCGCCGAGGCTGGTTCCAGCCCTGGCACCCGGGCCCCGAGCCCGTGGCCGGCGCTCGCTGTCGGCGCTGCGGCAGGAAGCCGACAGGTGGGAAGCTGCCAAGAGAAGCGAGGACTGGCGGCATGCGGCTAGGGATTCGCTTTGAGGTCAAGAGCCGGAGCCGCCGGAGCCGCCGCCTGTCCTTCGGGCTCCTTGCTTTGGTTCCCACCGCTGCGCGGGCGGAGGTCCACGCGGGGTCTTCAAGCATTCGATCCCGTTGCGATATCAGGCTTCAAGCTGAGACCTGCCCCAAGCGCTCCAAGATGATCCAAGCGCCAGGAGGGCCTGAAGCAAATTGGCAACGAGATCTTCAGCGTGCAGCTGCCGCAGGGATTCACTTGGAACGAGACCCTTGGAGCAAGGCAGCAGAACGGCGGAACTGAAGTCGCCACGAAGAGCCCCAAAAGTCGACACTCACCGTCTCTCAGAGCCTTTGCGAAGCCTCAAAGGCCTCGTGGCCTTTGCTGTTAAACGGAGCCCCTGCAGCCTGGGACCTGCTTCGGGGCCTTGGGGCCTGTGACATGGATCTCACAAAGCATAGCAGGCATAGCCCCACGCATGCTTTGACGCCTTGGCTAGCCCCAGTTGCAAGGAAGTTCATCCTTGCGAAGACCCATCTCTTCGAGCAGAGTGTCGGTGCATCCGACCCTTACGGAAAGTGGCCGCTGGGAGCAGGTAATGCTTGGAATGAGAGTTCATTGGGTTGGTGTTTGATCTGCACTTTTTGGAAGCATGCTTTACCTTTGATGCTTGGATGCCCGAAGGCAGTCGAACGCACAGCACGTCTCATGCTCGCACACAAATCAGCTGCTTTCAAAGCTGGTTTAGCGTGCTGGGGACTGGTCATGCTTTAGTCCAGAAAGTTCTTGTTGGCGGTAGTTCGACAACTTGAAGATGAGGGATTTGATTCCTTTCCCAACGATTGACTGTGAATCCTAGGAGTATCGTGCAGCTTCGAGAGCTCCAATGCTTGGTCTCGCTATACACAATGATGTGCTATGCTACTCGCTCGGCCTCGCGTCTCGCCGGTACACTTCCTAAGCTCAAAACCGAAGGAAAGTGGGGTTGACCATCGACGAGGTCTTCGCCAACAGCCTGTCCGGATACCTAGGAAGCATGGCAGGCACGAGAGGCTTGGTTCGGCAGGATGGGTTTGCGGTCTTGCCCCGCCGTGCCAGGTGCGCTAAGTACAACAAACCCTCTCCAGTTGAATCGTCTGAACATCAAGTTGCCGTTCTTGAAGAGATATGTGTGAGCACTTGCAGAATCAAGGGTTTTGATAGTGCTACGATGGATTACAATCAAGACGCTAGAAACACAATCATGTTCGCCCGAGACCAGCCAACATAAGGCTTGCTCATGGCTCACGGAAGACAACAAGAGCCAACACTAATTACTAATAGTGATAGTGTGCTTTGTGTGTCACGGTCGTAAGTACGGCGCCCTCCTCCAAGTAAACCCTAGTTCCGAGACAGGCAGTGCGCAACTTCCACTCATGAGAGTTTGTTCCAGCTCCTGTTTGCAAGTCGAAAGCCGTGAAATCAAGCAGAACGCGGGCTGTAAACCGCTGCAACCGCGAAGCAGGTGCGTCCCAATGATGTTTCTGAAAGGTCCGACGTTGGCTCGGTCAATGCTGTGGCCGACCGGATTGCGGACATCGAGCGGCAGAAGGACTCGCACACATGTTTTCTGATGAAGCAAGAGACTGCACGAAGGCATTCAGTATTGGGGTCATACAGTACCTGCTGTGCTGCATAGCGGCTTTTTGCCGTGGTGCCGCATTAGTGCGGACTTTTGCGTACGAGAACAGTCACTGATCGGCACCTCTAAGCCTCTAAGCTTGAACGGAGCTGTTCGACCGAGTGCCCAGCCGCCGAAGTGTGGAAAGCGTCTTCGAACCTAGCGGAAGGATGGGAACTTCACAACGGATGTTCTTTCCGCGAAGGAGGCAGTCCCCCTGCGCTGCTCTATGGGATTTCATGTTCTTTCATTGAAGCCTTGGCATGATGGTAAGTTGGGTGTTGGGAGGTTAGCTCGCGGGAGGCAGCGCGCAACTCAAACCCGTCATTCGCTGTTGTCAAGAATGAAACAGAGGTGTGGGTGTATGTGTGTGCGCGCGCAGCAGTTCGAGCGCCTCCACGGCATTTCCCGAACTTCCTCAGCGGTGGGTTCTGCAGGTTGCTGCCGGGGAGGTGCCAACCTACCTCATCGAATACCGCTGTGATACCTCACGAGGCCGAGGAACCGAGAGCTTTGGGGCTCAAGGGAACTTTGCAAGAACAGCAGCTTCCATCACCCAGTACGGCCTCGCGGACACGGCTGAGTTCGACTGGTAGCTAAAGAAGCTTGAAGCCCAGATCACAGATCGGTTTGCCCTGGTTACTTCGGACTTCGTGCATTCTGACCGAGTGTGAAGTTTTCAACTCGTCCCCAAGCCTGAGGACAGCACAAACCAACTTACCAGGCAAACAAGCTTTGGCGACACAGGAAGACCTTCAGCACGCACGCACACACACACACACACACACACACATGTGCAGCTTCAGCACACCTGGATCGTTGATCCCTGGAACCGAGTCTTGCGGTGTAGGGTTCTTGGATCAAGGATTAAAACTCTACACCTCGTTTGGATGCAAAGGCTTCGCAAATCTTCAGACTGCCAGATTCTGCGTTCTCTCTTATCGTTGTCGTCGTCGGCATACAATCACGGTGGCAATATCTAGTGACTGTTTTTTGTGGTTACAGGAGCTGCAACATTGTAGCAGCAGTCCTGGTAGTTGTAGTAGTAGTAGTAGT